CTAGCTATATAAAGAATCAAAATACCCAAAATAACAATTAAATATATTTTAAACTTTTTTTATAAAAGACAGCTTAAAATAATTACAACATATAGCCTAACAGAAGAAATAATAGCAGAAGATGGAATAGATCAAAATAAAGTAATATTATCACTAATATAGCATCTTTTTTATAATCTGTTATATAAAAAGATAAAAAAATAGATTATATTGTAAAGCAAGAGGTTAAAAAGAAAATACACTGTAACAATATTACAAGCTATCACCAAGCAGTAATCATATATACAGATAATATAACATAAATTGTGAAAAGCAAAGAACAATTGTTAGAAATTCTAAAGATAGCAGAAAACTTTTTCAAAATGAATGATATTGAGATAAATGAATCTAAATCAAAACTGATAATAATGAATGAAAAAGTTAAAAAAAAAGAAAGATAAATAAATTTTAGAAGAAGCAAAATAATAGAAAAGCTAAAAAACAAAATAGTATATACATTAGAAATCTGGTTAAACAACAAAATGTGAGAAGTCTTAGTAAGAAAAAAAGCAAAAGAAATAATAAGCTAGACAATAAGAGATCTTAAATATAAAAAAATAACAATAAGCCAGATAGCATATATAAACATATAGTAATAATACCAATATTAAGCTACATGTTGCAATTAATAACAATATTAAAGAAAGAGATAAATAAAATACACCAACTAATAATATATTTAGCAAACCAAAAAAGTGGCTTATCAAGAATACTAGAAAACTATATAATAGAATACAAAGACTTTGATAGTTGCAGAACTTTATGACAAGACTAATAATGAAATAAATAAAAGGTTTGATAACAAGACTAAACAAAAAAAATAAACTAGAACAGTTAACAAAATTGAAAATAACACAAAATTGTCAAAGAGCAAGTTTAATAGAAAACATATGAAAAATAGAAAAACTGCCAGAAGACAAGTCATGTTGAAAGAACAATTTAGGCTGTTTGATAATAGTTAAAGTAAAAGAATTAGGAATAAATATAAATCAGAAAATAAATTATAAACAACAAACAGCTATAGTTTTAGAATAATTAAACTAGTAGAATTATAATTATAGAAAAGAAGTAGATTCAAAATAATTAAAGCAAGACTAATATATTTAAATCAGTTATTTAATACAAAAGAAGAAAGATTAATAACATGGCAGCAATTTAAGGCCTATCAGAATCAATCAAGCAAAGACAAAAAAGACAAAGTAGTTCAAAATAATAGAAATAAAAGTGCTTAACAAAAGTGAAAATAGAGAAATTAAAGAATAATTTAAAACTGATAGATGTAATATATAGGCAATAAAAATTAAGTAAGAAAGTCTGTCAAATGATAGAAAAAAAAAAGAATAGATAGTATATAGTGTAACAGAAAATAACCAAATGAAAAAATAGTTAAAAAGAAGAAGAATAAGCTACTAATAAAATATTGGTAAATATATAATATAGAAAATGTCTTAATAATAAAATTTGATAAATACAAAGAGTATACAAAAGAAGAAGAAACAGAAAAAAATAGCTGTCAACATTAGATAAAAATTAACAACAAAATAAATATAGTTTCAGATATGCTAATAAAGAGAAACAAGAATATAATCAAAACAGCTACTGACCAACTAATAGAATATATAAGAACAGAGAAGTTGAAAAAAATGAACAAAAGCTAATAGAACTTAAAATATTAGAAAACCTAAAAATAGAATTAATTAAGAAACAAAAATTAAAGTAGATTATTAATTAAGAATTACTAGAAATTTTAAGAAGAAATATATTAAAAGATAAAAGCAAATATATAATATATACAAATAGTGTAGCAAATAGTAAAAATAAAAAAGAAATAATAAATAAAAACATAGATATAAGATAGGTATAAATAAGTTAAGCACAAAATTGGTCAGAAGAAAAGGTAGCATTAGAGTAAAAGAATAACCTATATCTATTACAACTAAGGTGCTAATAATATAAGCAGCAGTTTTAATAATACTAAAAAAGAAAATCTAGAAATATTTACAGATAGCAATGTAGTAATGTAACAATTAGGAACATTGATAAAAGCTTAGCATATATAGATAGAAATAAAGTTCTTAAGAGAAAAAATGTGATATAAGTATTGAAGATAACAGATATAATTAGAACAAAGAATATACAAATAAAGTGAATCAAAATAAAAAGTTATAATAAAAACAAATAGAATAATAAAACTGATAGTCTTATGAAGAAGAGAATATTAATTAGAAAAATAATATTGTTAGAAAAAAAGATAGAGTACTGTCTAGAGTAAAAAAACAAATGAATAAACATATTAACAAGACTTTTATATAAAATAGTAACAAATATCAAACTGAAACTAGAATGAAAAAAAATAATCAAGCTTCCAAAATCAACTCTTTCTGATGATCTTCTGCACCAATTTTTTCACACATACTGACATATGAAAATTATATAGTTAACATGTTTATACATAACAAAACTTCGCCATATAGCATCTGGGTTCAAGAGTTTCAGATTGCATGTGGGCTATATAAAAAAGAGTTAAAAAAGACAGTTCCTTGTGGGTTTGGCTCTCTAGTAGAAGTCTATGGAGTTATTGAAAAAGTAACTTTGGCTACAACCAAGTAAGTTTTGTCAAGCTATATCTGAGCAGTAACAAAGATAGTAGCTTGGTTGAATATACTATTTTATATAATATAAACTCCTACACTCATTACAGTTGGTGCTATAAAAATTCCTTTCACACTTTTTTCAAAGAAATTTTTATCGAAAAGTGGGCAATCTAGTTTACCTCCATTGAAATCAGCATTGTTGATCCTTTCAAATCAGAATTGTTTATCAGTTCTATTTGGAAAGGGCCCATGTTGCAGATAAAGCATGAGTACATGTGTCTTGGAAAAACACAACAATGAAATGAGATTAGAGATTTTCAGCAAAGATGAAATGATTGGTTGAAAATGTGACAAGTATCGAAATATAAGATCTGGTGAAAAGTATGATAAGTCATATATGAAGATGGATTCAGTAACAAGGAGTCAGGGCATCTGACACATGGAAAATTCTCTGCCAGTTCAGTTTTGTTTAAATTGTTTCCCTTAGAATATAAGCTTTAGTATTAAATATGTTAATTAGATAGAGTTAAAGTAGAGATTACTATATTTAGTAACATATAATTTTTAATAGATCAACACAGTCTTTATAATTAGTGACTATTTGTCTGGCCTTTGTCAACAATCCTTTTTCCTTTCATTTCTTAATATTTGTTTTTTTTTACATTTCTCCTCTATATACATTTTTTTTAGTGTATTCCCTCTCAATAAGAAATTTTTTTTTTGGTTTTTTACTTCTCTATGAATAAATGGTATCAGATTAATGCTATTCAATTGTAGGATGGCAGACAGATGAGCTTGATCCAGACTTTAGCAGGTCTGGTATGACAGGTTGCTCGTAGGTGCCAATTGAGGTAACCATATGATGATGGCATATGAAGTTAGATATAGTTCTATTTGTATATTGTCTGTACTAAACAGTTATAAATAAACTTCTGACTGGTTGACCATCATGGCTGTCAAAGGTTAAAAAAAAAAAAAAAAAAAATCAAAGACCTAATTCCAAAAACAACTTAAGACAGATTATCACAAATTTTTTGAATACAAAAACAAGACAATAGTTTATGAATATAGTAGTAGAAGTAACAAGAAACACATTCTATGAACAAGTTTGAAAAATTCACTATAAAAAGATCAATATATAGAAAAAAGAAAAAAGAATAATGAGTAAAAAAAAAAAAAAAAGACTGAAGAAAAAAGAAAATCTAAGTAAAAAGAAAAAAAGAAAGACTAATCAACAAGAAATAAAAGAAAAAAAAAATAAATAAAAGAAAAAAAAAAATGAATTAAGGAAGAAGTTAAGAAGACAATTAATGTTTGTTATAAAAAGGTAAAGACCCTTTCATTACAGACTTTAAGTAATTAGACAAGCAACTTACTTCTGCTAAAAGTAATGTAACAGGTTGCACTTAGGCACCATTAGGGTAGCCGAGTGATGCTAGGCTTAGTTGTTAGGTATATTTATTATATTTATGTAATTGCAGTAGTAATTTCAAAAATCTTAATAAAGCACTAGCGTAACTGCTTATAAATAAATAAAAACAAAAAAAAAAAATTTAAAGTATATCAAAATTATATATTATGCTTAATAAAATTATCAATACTATATATAGTATTATTGTTATGCATAAATTATACTCTAGGCTTTAAATCCTTAAGCCTAACAAATTCATATACATAGTAATAGCATAACATAATCTTCTGATGCCGACCAATCAAAATTAGGTACGATATATTAGTAATATAAGTATGTCGCATGGCATAATACATACATTTTTTTTTATATATAGTGTAAATTTATACTGTACACAGTATTTGCTAAAAAATGTGAAACTTTATTTTGTAAAGTTGTTAATATAGTAGTGATAATTATCCAAAATTTAAACATGGCTCATAAAGAAATTTCAGCATAAATTAGTAATTGGATATCCATCTCTGACCAAAGCCACATCTTTGCTGAAAACTTTGATGTAGCAAACGGTAACCAATGAAAGCTAAGAATTTACAGAGATGTTGATATCAGGTATAATATAACGAGAGGTTTAATGACATCTCCGTAATTGTGACACCTAAAGCTTGTAACTAATAATCGAAAACATTCAAATTCTTTGGCTAATATAAGGTTGGTCTTCTTCACCTTTTGACTCGTTCGACTTGCCTCTTGTTTGTCTTATGCTGTGCTCTTTTACGCTTATACGAGCTTTTCAAGAATTTTTTTAAAAAAACTTTACCTATTTAAACATATTCTGGCACATTTTTACCTTGTTTTGGTTTATTGTGCGAATTACAATTTTTCCCACCATTTTTGTTTTTTAAACCGCCAAATTGTCTTCAACTAACGCCTCATCGGGGGCGCACAAAGAAATCACCATGGGACAAGCACAGGACAAGTTTGTGGACGAGCAAAATGAAGACGGTTCACAAGATTCTCCTACAGTGGAAGACTCCGTGATTACTGAAGCAACTTTTACCGTGGTTGCGTCGGAATCTCAAGTTCACCATGATATTAGTTTCTCACCGCCTTCTACACAAAACACACAACTAAAAAGAACTAGTCCAAATTCTGTGTTCGGTGATATAGAACCCAATGGCATTCGAAGTGAAAAAGGAAAGTTTTTCGCTTCAGATGTCAATGGTCACATTGATTTGGCAGAGAATGATGATAATTTTACTATTCACCTAACCAGCTCCACAATAGATTTTTCAAATAACTCACTCGCGAGTTCACTTGCGAATTTAACAATCCGAGATTCACCATCATTGGATAGTATGACAACAGCGTCTGTTGTGCAAGCGACAAAGGTGAAGAACACACATAACAGCTTATCTAGAACCATTGAAAACTATAGTCCGACTGTAGAGGAAAAATCCGGTTCAATTAAAATAGCAGGCACAGCGGAATCAACACGTAAAAGGACATCTAAGGATATAAAATCAACATTAGCTGACGAAGCCGAATATACGATACCACCAGCCATTGCAGAGGATGTTTTGCGAGAAATGTTAGCAAATAAGCCTAGTCAGGATTTACTCGAAGAGTTGGAGCCACCAATCGTGGTCACAAATGGGAAAGGAGAAAATTCTTCATCAAAATTTAAAGGCGATTCGGTAAACCATGAGAAAAATGGTGAGTCCTCTGAACCGAGCAAAAGTAGTAACAAAAAGAACAATTTGTTAATTTTATCTGGCATGATAGATTCCCCTTTTCCATCCAAATTTACATTTCCAAATATTGCGGACAAAAATTTCTTTCTACCGAATTTTTCAAATTCACCTGCTACCTCATCGTTACCTTCATTTTCCTTTGGAAATCCTTCTGAATTATCATTACAAAACCCTTTTCAAAATCCTTCCATTTCTTCCAATGCACCCGCAAACATATCACATCAAAAGGAACAACGGCGCGTAACACTTCAATGGCATCCACCAGTTCTACCGGTCCTTGACAAGTTTTCACCTCAACTTTCGTCAAAAACACCATCTATATCGATGCCATCTAGTTCTATATGGCCTCCGTCGATAAATACCACATCTCCAACCGATACGCACTTTTCAAATTCTAACTTATTGTTTCCACAGTTTACTGGATCTTTTAAATTTGATATGAATTCCAAAAATGCAATTTCTGGACCTCAATCGTCTAGTATGCCACCACCGTTAGTCCATCCTTCAACGCCACCATTAAGTCCATCGACAAAAAAATCAACTGCATCACCACCTGCGTCGTCATCGAGGAAAGGATTACATTCCAATGAACGAAATGGAAGAACTACGACATTGTATGTGTCAGCAAAGCCACAGACCAAGAGTGTCGATAGTAATAATGTAAATGGAAATATTCAAACACCTTTACTAGTTTCTTCAACACCTAAAAAAATGCCAGTGAAGTTTGGTGACGTTAGTAACACTCTAACATCAACGTCATCAACGACAAAAGGAATAACGAATAGCATTAATAGTAATAATACTGCAAATCCATCCACAACGTTACAGACATCACCACCAAGAGGATTTGCCCATAATGCGACGAATACATTTCCTTTTTTCAGGCCAATTCGAAAATTACCATCGCGGGCTAAATCTCGTCTAGCAACCAATGGAGTTCTCACGGATGATAATAACAATAGCAATAATAATATTAGCAAAATTGATACCATCAGTAACGTTGTATTCAGTGGAAGGAATGAGATTATAGTTACAGCGCCAACACAGCCTTTGCCCGTTATACCGCCATCACCCTTATTTTCATTTGCAACACCAACAAATTCAGAAGAGGAAGATTTTGACGCTGAGGAAGAAGATGGTAGTAACGATAACGGGCATACTGACTGGTTGGATAATGCTAATAACAAAAAGAAAAGAAAGGCCTTGCAAACCGTGGGAGGTGGTTCGGTGATGAACAGTAGTGTTGGTGGTGTCATGAAGACTTCAACAGCGAAAGAACGAGCAAATCCACTTAGAAGAGTGGAAAGACGCTCAACACAACGTAATATAAATCTTATGAATAAAACGTCATTAAGTAGTGATATGGTATCTTCGTTCGACCATAAAATTTCAGATAAGGATATTGATAGTGTACGTCCTCCTCAGACAACATTTGATTTTTCATTTAAATCAATTCCCGAAAAATCTGCTGCATTAGCTGCTGCAAGTGTTAATGCTTCCAGTGCAAAGCGGCTGGCTGCTGTTTCGCCAATTCAAACAATGAATACTAAGAATGATCCATTCACATCATCATTGTTTCTTCAACAATCGCCAACAGTTACAACTATTTCTGTATCTGGCGGTTCAAAGAAGAAAGCGTCAACAAAACGTGCGGCACCATCGTCTGTTGCATTCAAAAATGACGAAGGTGCAAATAATAATCATGTTCGCCCTCAGACGGCAATAAGATCTAAAGCATTATTACCACCACTGCCACCACCACCACCAGCAACTTCAAAAAGAATGCAAAATGCTGGTCGTAAAAAGAATAAGAAAAAAGCCCAATTGACTGTGAATAATAGTCAAAATGTTTCAAATCAGCATCCTCATCAGCACCAGCATCAACATCAACACCACTCACATCAACACCATCATCAACACCAACAGCAGACAGACGACACATCATCAACTTCTGGTTCAGTAGACATTCAATCTGTTAACAATAATGCTCCAAGGCGTAGAATCAAATTTCCTGAAAAAAATGGTGATTGGATTTGTATGTTTTGTGAATATCGGCTGTATTATGGTGATGAGAGGCGCGCACGAAGGCGCCCAAAAGTAAACACTGTAAGTGCTAATGGTGGCTATGGGGGCAATAATAATTCAGGTGAAGGAGGAAATGGGCCTGACAAGGCCCTTGCGACTTAATGACATTTGAGCCATTCGTGATAATGTAAGTTTACATTTACGATAATGATATGTTGCGCCTCAGATTAACACTTGCGTCAGGTGTCAGCTACATAATATCATTTGACCAAAATTAACAGATCAGCCTAAACTATAGCCTAATCCTGACCTTAACCCTAACCCTAACTCAGGCCAAAGTGACATCTGACGCAAGTGGTAATCTGAGGCACAACATATATATGTATATTTGTCTGTTTACTTTTGATTGATTAATTGATTAATCCTAATTTTTCGAATCAAACCATTAAACCGGAAAAGGAAGAAAAATTCAGCGCACATAATGATGAGCTCAAAGGGAGGTTTTTAATTGTTTTTTTTTTCGCGTTGGAAGTTTAAGTTCCTTTCAATGTTTTCAGGAGGAGATTTGAGATCTAGTGAGTATGACTTGTAATTTCTTTTCTCACTTCAGATCAGAATTGCGGTCAAGTATTAAGCAAGTTGATGCAGCAATCGCTGTACGGCTTCAATCTTATTATCCCATATTCTTTCTTCCTCTTTATCGCGATGTAACAACACATGAATATTTTTAAGAGAATTATATGTCCCTAATAATAGTAGGTATAATTCAATGTTCTCTTCTGTTTGTTTGTTTTGTGTCCCCTTTTTAAGTCGTTTTACTTACTTGTAAGGTTCCTGCTTTCGAGCTTGTATAAAAAATAAAAAGTATCAAAATTTTCCATTGGATTCGAGTTGTTTTTGTCAATTGATGCTCGACTATTACTCCCTAAGTAATATCAGTGACTCGTTTATTTTGATATATACATTTGTTAGCATATATTTGTTATTTAGGTATAGTAAATGTACACCGTTTTCGGCCAGCGAAATTGAAGGTTGAAGATCAGTATTAGATAAGGTGAAAGTTGATAGTTAGGTACTGTGACGAGTTGAGACATATTTCATGACCTAGTGACCAGAATTAGAATCATGCAATCCGTAGACTACTCATGAATAGTCTAAATCGCTCAATTTTGATTTGATCACTGGGTCACGAAATAGTTCTCAATTAGTACAAATAACCAACTTGTCAAATACTCATTTTCAACTTATATTTCTTTTAATGAATAACTATAAGCAATAACAGTTTGATTGTTTGCTAAATAAAATTTTTATATTCGGTATACTGTAATATAATCGTATTCACTTTTTATTAATAAAAATAAATTTTTATAATTCTTTAAAGAATTTTTTATTTATAATTTTAATAACTAATTGTGGCAAATCACAAGTTTAGGCAAATTTGTCTGAAATTATGTATATTTGGGGTGAGTCAATAGAAATCAAGCAAATTGTTTTTATTGAATTTTTTTTAGACCTTTAAATGCTAATAACTTTTCAAAATATTTAATCAAATTTAATAAAACTTTTTTGAAATAAATTCTATAAGTTTGTAGAATTTATTTAAAAGTTATTTTTATTCAAATTTTTTTAAAAAAAAACTTAGAAAAAATTTGCATTGATTTTAATAAAATTTTAAATTATTTCTGAAATAACTGGAAATTCTATTTTGACTCGGGTCCTAAAATTTAAGGTTAGTGCAGGCCGTTAATGTCGGCCGGGTTTTATATTAAAAAACACTGGTCGGTATCAACATAATTTTGGCTCTCAATAATTCTAAATTTTAGAAAATAGAATTTCTCAACATTATATATTAAAAATCAGTATTGAAATAATTTTTACATAAAATATATTATTATTATTTTTTTTAAGAGTAGGGGGTAGTATTTTAAAATTATATATAAACCTAATGGTAATTTTTTTTTTATATTTAATTTATAAAAAATTATATTAAGTAAACTAATTTTAATTTATAAGAAAAGTTTGTAGAGTAGGTTTTTCTGATTCTAAT